CACCAGCCGTAACCTGTGTAGGATAGCGCCGATAGGACCAAACTTTCTGCTCCGTCCAGTATAGTCAGACTGACGACGCTGCTGTACCTACCTGTGGCGACTGCACGAAATCTGAGGAGAGAGTGACATCTGAACAAAAAACTGAGTACATCTTGAAGGTCGAGCGTTTGGAGTTTATGATAAGAGTATGGGCCCATCATCTCAGTCGACCTTCATGAAGCAGGATTTTTTGACCGAAGGGTGTCGTATCGGCAATTCCGATGCCGGACCTGATTATCCGACAATTAGTGATCCGTGTAAATAGTTACTTTTATGTTATATCACATATGTGTTAGTCTTTAAGGTATTTATTATATTAGTCATTGTCATCTGAATTGAAAATTAAATTATAGAAATACAGAAAAATTAAAATTAAAAGTAAATAATTGTAACTTTTTCATTGAAAAAAAACCCCACCTCAACAGTTTGCTAGTCGGCTTTTTTCAATTTTTATGGGATCCTCTCCTCCGATTCTGACTTTTTGGTGACAATGGGACTGTTACGCACTCCTTTGTATATATTTTTTTTCTGGTTGTCATGGTCACGGTGATTTGTTAATTACATGTGTTGTGTCAAGTGAAAAGTTGACTTTCATTTTTTTACCCGGAACAGCATCGTCGGCATCAGGAACCACCTCGAGATTACACCCTTTCTAACAAAAAAAGAACTTTCAATATCGGTCCACAAATGATGCAGAAATCGATAGGTACACTGACATCCCTACAAAATTTGAGGATTTTCCTCGATTTTCATGGATACCTTCATCAGATACTGACTTAGTGACAATGGGACCACCACGAGAGTGCACTCTTTCAAACAAAAAAGAATTTTCTAAACCGTTCGTAAAATTACAGCATCAGAATTTAATGAAAATCAGCAATTAAAATTATTAATACCACACGTCAACGGTTAATTAATTTAGATTTTATCAAATTAGACCCTTGTTTAATGTACGGGAAATTCGTTGCAGTGACTCGTGGGTGAGGGTAATCAAATTTCCTCCTTGGCAACCGTTATACTTATTTTTGCTTACGCCTGTACTAAATTAGATTGTGTCCTTTTTATTTCTAATTTTCCACTCCCTTGCTCAATTCTTTAAAAAATTCCTCGAGAGTCATCTGTTTCATTATCTTTTTTTTATCAGCCGCATGTATTTTCTAAATTTCCTTCCATATAAGATACTGTGCGATATTGGTGGGAGTTGTAATTTATTAATAAACCAAAACGTTGAGCGAAAAAAAAATTATTAAACCGTTACACAGATAATAACTAATAAAATTTGTCCAAATAGGTACGCTTTGTTCAAAAATTGGATTAAGAAACATTTCTTTTATAATCAACCATAGCACTACTAACAAAATATTTTTTAGCTTGTGTATTTCATTTCTTTTTTCACCTTCATACAAATAAGCATAGTGTATTACTGCGAGTTTACTTGTATTTTTAACATGGGTTTTTTTTTATAAAGGAAGCACCACACTTGGTAATCATCACAGGGAATCAGCTAGAGCATGTTAGAAAAAGCTTCTGCAATAAGTGCGAAAAAGGCTTCCCCTTTCCGCTTTCGTTCAGACGGTCATCAACGCGAAATGCAGAAAGTCTTTTGAAGGTGGTCCACATTTTTGTGACATCAATGCACCGGACTACGTGATTGTAAGCGTGCGTCCACATTTGTAACATTTTGACGCACCGAAACTTCGTGACGTCTCACGGTACTTGCTACGCCAAAAACACAAATACAAATTACAGCAATACAACATACACATTGCGCTTGTGTATATATTCTGTGTATTTGTGTATGTTTGGTTGTGTATAAATTTTATTTATTTAGTGCCTAATTGTTTACAATTATTTGAATTTTGGTTTTTTGTACCGAAATATATATTTTGACGGGTGTTGCAATATATGGCGGGGTATAGCAGAATAACAGCGAGGGCTATGTAATTATTTTTAATATTTTTTTAATTTTTTTTTTTAATTTCAACATGAATTTAATTTTTTCCTTGTTTAGTGTTTGTGATTTATGTATTATCAAATAAAGCCGATTTTATTTTTATTTATAGATTTTACATACGAAAATTCTATTTTTTAATAAATAGTGCACAGTTTAATTTGTAGATCAGGGCAATCAGCAATGTACGATCCTGTCTTTCAAACTAGGCTAAAAGAAACTTCACGAGTGTGCACTTTCTTTTTTTGACCATAAAGAAAAATTGTGAACAGTGAAACACACAACAGTTAACATAGGGGAAAACACAATTTTAAAATTATGTTAAGTTTACCCAGGTTATAATGTAAATGTACGTCTATATTCTATGTGTGCGGTATATATGTGTATATAGTTCCAGATTGCGTATAAAAAAAATTTAAAAGTAGGATTCGAATTCGGCCAACAGCAGAGAGGGCAGCGGAGAGCCCATTTTAATTAAGGTTAATGCCGACCATTCATTACCGGCATAGAGTTGAAGATAAAACGAATGAGAGATAATTATTAAGGCCATTTCATCCCGGAGATTTCACTCGGAAATGAACCCTTCCTTTTCTCGTACCTCGTTTGTGAACAACGCTTAATAACCGCATGTGCTGGACATCTTATGTAATCTGGACATAATCTGGTACTAAGGAAAAGGACACTTTTTTACGTGCCCGTTTCTTGATTACTTTCAGTGTTTTTCTCTGATTGTTTCGTAAAACGTAGGAAAGACGCGTTCACAATCCGCTATTAAGAGCTAGGACAACTCTACAAGTCCAATTCGTAACTTGATCAGATCCAGTCCAAAGAAAAATCATTTGGAATGTTTGAATGTTCTACTTTTGATTGCGATCTGTGCTGTAATGTACTGAGAAAAAGTAAAAAATATAAATAAAACCCCCGATACAAAATAGCAAACTTTAAAAGTCAATAACCAGCTGTATATCTACTGCTACTCATCAAGACCATTTCACGCAATAAACACTGCCACCACACCGCACCACACAGAAAGTTACACACAGAGACAAAGGTTTCTTGCATCGGGGATTAAAAACATTTCAATTCAATTAATTTTCAATTAGTTTTCACTTATGACAAATTACCTATACAAGTGACATCACAACAAATATAATCTCAGTACAGAGTACTATAAAAACCGACCTCAAAAGTACGTGGAATTACGTCTATTTGCTATGTTTTTTTTAAAAATCCCCTAGTTCGCCACTATACAGGACATGACACTGGAGATAATAAAAATCGGTTCTCACTACTCCAAGTATATTGAGAGAAAACCCCTTGAATTGGAGAAATAGCAAAATCAACCATTAAAGTAATTGCTCCTAAATTAAAGTTAGGCGCTATTTATAAAAATGAATCTTCATGCGTGAACAGCCACCCTTCAAGGTGGATGATTTTCTTCAAAATGAAATGGGACCACTATGGAAGTACCCCCTTTCGAACAAAAAAAGAATCATGAAAATCGGTTCACAAATACCGGAGTTATCGCGTAACATACATACAAAAAAAAGAACATACAGTCGAATTGAGAACCTCCTCCTTTTTTGAAGTCGGTTAAATAGCTATATTAAATAGGTATAAAATAGCTATCATTATTTAATAACGCTCAACTCACGCTGGCGCAGAGTTAAAGCATTGCGACGCGTCATGTTTTTCGCCTATAGCATGTTCATCTCTATTTGTACAAATTAGTGTTATTCAAAAATGGAATCGCGCGTCGACGCTTGGTTAAAGTCGAGCGATTGCTTGTCGTTACTTGCGCAAGACGCCGACCACACTGATCCGGGCGCGCTAATGCGAGCGTCGTCATGCGTAGTTGAAAAACAGGATACGACGCGACGTGACACTTCGACTCTGCGCCAGTGTGAGTTGAGCCTTAATGTTGAGCCACATTGTGGTAAACATACGAGCTTATACGTAATTCGAGATCCCTATACGGTAAAAGAGTCTACGTAATTTGATTCTACGCTCTTTATCTAACCTCCTAATGCTTTAATTACGTTATTTTTATGTGAAATGCGGGCTATTTTTTATGACGTTAAGGAAAAAGAATGCTATAGAGAGTTATATTTGCAAATACAAGTCACCACTACCACGGAAGAACAAAAAAAAATAGAAGTGCCATAAGTCTTGATTACTATCAGAACCGAAGTCGCCAAAACTCACACGTTCTTAATTTGAAACACTACCAAATCTTGATATTGATTGGTCGTAGTTTCAAATTTAAAAAGAAATAACAAATTCTGGATTGATGAATACCATCAATACCTATTATTACAAGTTACGACGTTTTGATATTATATTGAAACTTCAATCAATATGCTGCCATCTAGCGGTTCATTGCTGAACGACGACGAATTGGAGTTATTGATTTAGTTCTCTAAACAAGAAGCGAATTTATTTTATTCCAGGAGTTTAAGCTTTACATTCGTTTCGTGTAACAAAAAATTATTTCGATAAACATTGAATTGAAAATTAAATTAAATTTAATAAAAATAAGATTTTCCGATGATATGAAATACCACCACGGGTAATATTTTTGGTGCAGCTATCATTTTGTTATCATACTCCAAAACATTTTTCTGGAATTTCAGAGAATTTGCACAAAAGAATGACACAACCATAATGACCAAAGCGAAAATGGCTGACGGAGCTCAGGTAGGTCTTTCGAATAAATAGTTGGCACGACGGTAACTAACGACTTCTACTGTATTTATTGTTCTGTGACCGCTACCAACCAAACAACACAACACACCCGAAGTTTGTGTGTATGTATATAAAAAAAAGCGTTTTCGTTCTACGTTGACCATGCGCTCAACTAAAAAGTGGAACTCCTTATTTCGTTCTTACTTTCCCGAACGATGAAAGCTGAATGTTTTTAAACTCAGAATGACAAGGCATCTTCATTGTAAGCATATAAAATAAAAGAATTATTCAATTAATAATTTATGTAAATTTATTTTAAGTCCTTATACAAAATGTACAAATGTATGATGAATGGTAGAAAAATACTTAGTTCTAATCATAATGATGTTGCACGGTGATAGATGACACCCGTGACAGTGCTGCGAGCGTAGTACTTGCAATGACATGAGCTGCATCGTTTACGCGGACGCTGAAAAAGAAATCATAATTTCATTTCATTACATTCATGACTTCAATCACGTTTTATTGTTGTCGTCCTTAACGGTGGAAGATTTACTATTTTCATTTTATTTCTGTAGCATTTAAAAAACTAAACAACATTGCTTTATGCTGACTTACCTATTATTATTATTATTATTTACTTTATTCTCTTCAGCTTGTTAGCTACATAGTTTGAACCACATTTACGGATCTAAGTCAAGTAAATGCAGTATGGCGTGTATCTACGAGTATGTTATTATTATTATACATTAGACAATATAATACAATACAATACAATATTTTTAGGCAACATTAGGCAAGTAAGCACAAGCTAGGAATAAGCCCAGATAAAGTAACTATGTAGAAAATCACCAGAAATGACACTGTTTGTGCAGCGTAAATTGTTATTAGTGCAAACGTTCTATTGCTCTAGTAGAGGTTAGTTGAATTGTGCGGTCAGTGCTTCCTTTTTACCTTCAACTGGTGGCGGTGCTGCCGCCGGTTCAGGAGCTGGAGCTGGCGCCGGGGCTGAAAACACAGTCACAGTAAAATTTAATTGTCAATCACTTCTTAGAGCTATATATATATATATATATACATATATACAATGACATCTGTGTACCTTCAGCAGGTGCGGGCGCAGGGGCGGCTTCAGGAGCGGGCGCAGGTGGAGCTCCTGTTACAATAAGGCATTAAGGCATTTTCTTTTAAATTTACGCTTACTGTTTGTTATTCGACAACTGTCAGTGGTCATTGGTAAGTTATAAAATCTCGGTATATAGGCATACCACTCGTATTACGAGTAATGTTAGTGTAGTTATTTCTCTAAGGTAAAGATCGTAACATACATATCGTACTGTTAATACAATAATGTTTTAACTCAAAAAGAGGACTTTCTCCAAATCGATGAAAAAGTAATTACTCACTTCCCGCAAAAAAAATCATTACAATTTATATGTTAAACTTTATTATAGACACTTCAACAATTTTTCAAATATATTTAAAAAAAAATGGAAACAATAATTTCATGTTTTTGAATAAGGATTGTTTTAGCCAGAAATAGCTCATATAAAGTGTGTCTTATTTTGAGTTAAGTAGATATTTATTTATTGTTTCTTACAATATTCTAACGACGGTTTTTTTGACGTATAGAGAATCAAATTTTACGTTCAGTAATGATATAATATAATAAATTTCACGTATTTTGAGTTACAACACTATTGTAATAGCAGTGCAATAAATAGGTACCTTCTGCCGGTGCTGATGCCGCAGGTGGAGCTGCAGGTGCTCCTACATAGAAAACACATTGTATAATATTACACATTTCATTTTTCCAAATATGGAAATATTAGTTAAGTTTCATTGGATAAATTAGCGCTTCTTATTTGGAATATAATATCTGGAAGATCCATGACATTAAAGTAAGACTTTATTGAAGGAATAATTCATCGGTCATTCTCCGACTAGTGTTCACTACATAATTTCCGTGGCAATTTTCATTAAATATAATTACTTAAAGTTGTCGATTTTTTATGTGCAATATTATTTAATATTTGAGTGTTGTATTGTGAAATATTATTTAATAATAACACCATATATACTTGAATATTTAAAAAACAAAAATTGCTATGGAAATTGGTAGTAAACTCTAGTAATAATAATAATAACGTACACACTCAACATAGCCCCGCACTACCCCTGTGTCGCGGGTGCCATGGACACACACGTAGAAAACCACAAATTACACCCAAACTCACGAGAGAAATAAATGTAGGCCATACGAATATTTCTCCCGACCCGGGAATCGAACCTGGGACCTCTGCTTGGCAGTCCGGCATGGTAACTGTTCGGCCACAAAGGCCGGTTTATAAGAGTTGTGAAGTAAATAGTTAAAGTCACCTTCAGCAGGCGCCGCTGCTGGAGCTCCCTCCGCGGGTGGTGCAGGAGTAGCACCTTCCGCAGGGGGCGCCGCTCCATCTGTAGGTGGTGCTGCTGGAGCACCTTCTGCGGCTGCAGGTGGTGCCCCTTCCGCTGGCGGCGCCCCTTCCGCTGGTGGCGCCCCTTCAGCCGGTGGCGCACCTTCCGCGGGTGGTGCACCTTCTGCCGGTGGCGCACCTTCTGCTGGAGGTGCACCATCTGCTGGCGCTGCTCCCTCTGCTGGCGGCGCACTTTCCCCTTCCTATATTTATCAATTCATTAATGTTTACAAAAAAGTGCCCTTTGGGATCGAAATATGCAAAAGCTATAGCCGGAAATTATAATAACGCGATAGCTTTTAAAAGTTAAATAGAATGAAAAATGGATGTATCAAATCAAAGTAGAAAGCTTTAGTGAAGCTATTTACATTTATAGCAAAAAATTCTTAGCGTAAAACTTATGTACAGGATTTATGTCTATTGAAAAATTCATATTGCTTAATGGAAAAGCCATGTCTGTACCAGCTGTCCCAAAATTAACATATCGCCACCTTTTTTCAAGTCATAGTAAAGGTCATTTTTTTATCGTTATCTTTAATGATAGATATCCTTAGATATAAATATTTCAGGCCATAAAAAGGTAAATGTAATTTTTGCCTGAAAATACATGAAATAACTATTTAATAATATCCATGAGCACAGGAAAGTTTAAAAATTAGGAAACTTGTGAAGTTACGTGATGAGGTAAACGGATGCTAGCAACAATGATTGTTATGGTATATGTTGTAGTTGTGGTATATTATGTTTGATGGTGCGGTAGTTAATAGTTAACAACATATGGCCATACATATACATCCGATTGGCGTATCAGACATGGAGGCTATCATCGATGACGCTTTCATAATAGTTGCATGCGCAATGCATACAATCTACATTAGGTACTTCGCGGTAAGAGTAGTTAATGAATTAATCAATAAAGTTACATTCAAAACCATTCTACACATGAGTTAGAATTTTGAAGTCATGTGATTGGATTTACGCGAATGTTATATTTATACAGCTTGATACGCATTTATGATACTCTAGGGAAATATGATGCGCGAAAATGATACAAATATAAACCCAGCATAAAACAGATCAGTCGTTCATGATACGAAAATTAAGCGTTAAGCCTCACAAAATTTACATGATTCACAAAAAAGCAATTTATTTTGCTAGTTTAATTATTGTTCAAAATACTTTTCTATCTTAAATGGGTTGATTCAACAAAAACTTATCGTCATGATTTGTATCTGCCTTAATAAATTTTTCGATTACAGAAATGACGTTTATTTGCAGCAGCTTAAATTTTAGAAATATTAGTTTAGATTAATATAGATGTAGGTAACATCCATACACATTTAATGATGTAGGCAGACACTGCGGACCTCCACTTGCTACGTCTCATACGTAAGTTTCTGACATACCTTTTTCGCTTCCTCCTCTCGCATAAGTCTTTTCAAATACATGTTCATATACGAGTATTACTATAACAGAACGTTAGTTCGACACGATGACGCTAGATGGCATTGACCACTTGGACGCTTTTTCTAAAATGCAACGTTAAGATTTTCCCTCTGCATCTTAAGTAGTTGAAGAATGTATTGACGATTTTAAATTCAATATGTGTATCCTATTCAACCAGAATGAACGTGTACCACCAACTAGACCTCCCGTACAACAGCCTACAAAGTTCCATTTTTACTTCGCCGTCGAAACGAACCTTTTGCCACTCGCCCTGTGGTACACAATTATATCTAGGCGACCAACGTGAGGACCAGGAACTTCAATGTAGAGTATAATCCTGGAATGTCTACCTTAAGACTTAGACCACCTAAGGTAGTTGTGGCAAAGGAAACTCATACGTCCAATGTGAAGTTACCTGTAACAATGATGTCCTAAACGTTACAGTCGCAGTCAGTATTTGCAACAAAATAGTAAGTACAACTTTTATTGCGCTATCAGATTCTACAAAAAGCAGAACACTGCCCGATGTAGACTTTATCCAAGATGCTGCCACTGGTGTGATTCTTAGCTTACCTCAACTTATATGGCAATTTATAGAAGCTCCTTACGTTTCTTACGATCTTACGGTAGAATGGCATGACGGTTTCTCGGTGGCACATGTGAAGTGTGCAGCAACACAAAATCTATGAACAATATTAGTATACCAGCGCACACATACGAAACGCGTTCTCAGTCAGCTGAATTCACAGAAACGAACCTTCCGCCTTATCATCTCATACCAATAAAACGTGCGGCGACAACACCGAAGCGTGCAAGAACGTTTGATATTCGACAAAGTTTGTGGATTATATATTTCAATATGCCTTATTTCCGCACCATAAGAAAATGAGTAAAGAAAGAATGTATTGACGACGTTCTTAACAACCCTGACGACGCTATAACTCTCGCCACGACAGGCTAACCAGATCGCAACTTATGCAAACTCCACACGAAGTGACCATCCTCAACGGTGAGCTCGAAGAGCCCCCCAATTTAGCTTGTAGAGATTCATTCTTACAGCACGACCTTCTGGAAGTCTCCAGTACCGCCCTAAATCGAAGTCTGTGCCCGCCTGGACGCCCTTTGGCCCACTACTTAAATTTTTATAAGGGTTACTAGAGCCTTCAGCTCGCCCTTTCGGCAGTCAAGGCCATCAGCGGTCAACTGCAAAATTGTCCTTCATTAAAAATAAATATTGACGATTTTAAATTCAATGTGTGTACGACTCCTACTGGGCCATATTGTGCATTTATTAGCGTGCGCGATGTGTACGAGCATCCGTCTGACCTCCCGTTTAGCCTTTATTTTTGTACAAGAGCCAAAAAAATTCCGTTTACTCTTTACTAAGTACATTTTACTTCACCGTCGGAACGAATCCCTTGCCACGCCCCGTGAATACTGTTAAGCTACTGTTTATTCCTGATATTAAAATAGGACAAGACCATTTTTGCCGACATTCTCAATCTGGTAGAGTTATATACGTCGACCTTTCCTCACTTCCATCTTCAATCGCTCTATTTGGGCCGTTTACTCTACTAACATCCATCCTTTTTACAAACCCCATTTCAGTTCTAGTCAGTACATCATCTTTCAGACGACAACGCTCTTAAGCCAGATTGTAACTCGATCTGTCTCAACAAGTAACATCACACGTACTATACATCCAATTTGAAGAGTTTTCAGCCTGCTTTAATTATTTAGGGTTAGAACCAGTACGTCCCGACGAACAGCCAGACGTACACATTTCGTACGTTTAGTGAATATTTTGGTTTATTTCAAAAAAATATTTATACGCAAGGCAGATTTTACACTACTGCTGCTGTAGCTCAATCCATTCAAGAATCCTTTTCACGTTAACAAAGCAATTGCGGAAAATAAACAGCATGAGGTTTAATATATTTTCAAGGAGCAACGGGCTTCAATTTAATCCAAACTTACCGAAAGGACTGAACATCTGTGACTGAAGGAATATTTTTACGCACTTCGGGATTTTGTTTGACCTTTCGTAGTTTGTATCGCGCTTCTCCGGCCAAACGGCCTTGCAAATTATTATTTGCAAATTTCGATGTAGATTAATAACAGCATTGACTCGAACCTTAATGGTTTTTAAATGTTGTAAAATTGTGATTGTAATATACCTAAGTAGTTGATTGGAAATAAATAAAAAAAAAAAACAAAAAAAAAATGTTATTTTGTTTGTATTAAAATTTTGAAAGAAATTTCCTTATTGTATTTAATATCACGTATTGTTGAAATTTAAACTGAACTCTTGTGACACATTGAACCATACAATAGTTAAAAAACACTTAACGTAGTCTGGTTGGTTATATTGGACCCTTTACACAGCTTGGTTAAGGCACTGCAGTGTGTGGTTCAATTCGGGTTCACGTAACGTTGATTGTGCATTTTGTAAGGTCTTGCTGAAAGAAGTAACATTGTGAGGGTGCAATAATGCATTATACTTTCAAATGTGTATAGTGGATCAGTACATAATTTTTTGAAACAATAATATGAAGTCGCAACAAAAAAAGTTATATTCATGAAAACGTTTTGAAATAATTCTTGAAGATTTTCCTTGAAAAAGCTTTTAAGCTTTTTAAATGAATATAATGAATAATGTAGATACTACCTAGGTAATAATGCATGAGAGTGGAAGTAAAAAGGGGCCTGTCTATCCTGCACGGGTATAACACGAGCCAAATACTTGTGTAAAATAATTTTATCAATATTTCGTAACAGGGGCTTGCTCAATGGTTAATTACACATACCGGTACATTTAGCAGAACACAAGTAAAATCCTTAATTAAAGCACTGTTTTCAAAAGACTGGCTTAAAAAATTAAACGACTGTAATTTTCAGTCGCCCGTTTTCATTTCCTACTAATACAGATTTATTGAGTAGCACGAGGTTGATTTAGCGTTCTTGTAAATTTGTTTATCTTTAGTTGGAAAAGTTTTTTTTTAATTTATTACGGTTGATCTAATCAATTAAACTCGTCACTGAAAAGGCGAAATTACTAACCTCCAAAAGGCCAAAATGGCGCTTTAGTACTTTCGCCTTTCCACCGACAAACTGTTACAAACTAAAAAGTTTGTCACAAAATAAAAAAAATACATTTTGTTTAATTCAGATTTTTTCGGCCTTACTAAATCGATGTTGAAAAACATTTATTTCATTGCTGCGTTATGCATAATTTTCATTTATTCCAATATAAACGTTAGTATATTATATTATAAATTTTTAGTTTCGCTATATGTGCCAATGTGTTTAAAAAAGATTAAAACAAAGCTACATAGGGCTGAAAATGTAAGAAAATAACCATATACAGAACATCTAAAGGACTATCATCATTATTTGCAAACAATAAGGAACACAAAGTGCCACGAAATTTCTATAAACAATATGCATAACGATAGGAGCGAGGATAACCGACACCTGCGTTGGGTCCTGCTACATTACCAGTTTCATCATCTTATGGTAATGGCCGCGGCCATTTTATAACGCAGACATTCTGTAGAGGGGTTTAGGACTATAATCATACGGTCGAGATTCATAATGTACCTAATTCACAAATTGCTTCTAGTAAAAATATCCACCAAGGGAACCAAGAGTTCATATCCTTGGTATAGTTACAGATAATATAATACTATACTAGTACAGATACCCAATCTCATGAAGAAATGTTGCACTTGTAACTCCGCTTATTCGCACGCTTCTTTTGATTCACAACGCTCTGATCAATAGATGGTACATATGTACCAAGTAAGCCCGCGATGCGATTGTAATAATATTCGAAATATTACATAGCTATTACATTTTTGTCAAGGTTAATTGCAGTTGTTCAGGTTGGTTTAATTGATTATGTACACAAAAAGAAGCTGAATATTACTTTTAATGTTTTAAAGTAAAAGCCAGGGCTAAAACGTTACTTAGTTTCGATAATAAATTCAAAGAAATGCCCACTGTATAATATATAGCAAATTAACAAATCAAAAAGTATGCCATTGTGTTTTAAGGGCTGTAAATAAAAAAACACTAAAGTGAGTCTATTAGACGTCAAGTCTTCGATTTTTTTTTTGTTTATAAAGTTATTCTCGAGGTTTGGAATTTTTTACCGCCCTACTTACAACGTATTTTATCACATTTGCGAAGAAATAATATATGTATTTCTTCGCAAATGTGATAATATATAATGTGATAATAATTTAAAAAATTAATTTATTTCTTGTGAATTACACAACGCAACAACGACAGATATTGCAAATGGCGGTTTTTTTTATATAAACAGATGGACTTGATCGTAAAGATATAAAATAAATAATTTGAAAATACAAAGAATGCTGCAGAATTTGAATTTATGAAATTAATTTAGCAAATGTTTAATTTTTTTTTTTTGGATACCTCAAGCTTAAATGAAATAATGCAATTTTTCGAGCAATAAAACTTTTTGCTTAATCTTAACGTATAAGAAAAGTACAGTGCAATTAAATTGTAAAAATCCATTACCGCCATAATAATGTAATAATAAAAAAAATAAAGTTCAGCACATTACAGTGTAATGAAATAATTTATATTTTTTTTATGTCGCTTTAAATATGCACTAATATTTATTTTGTAGAATTGATACCCTATAATATAGTAAAACTACATGTGATCATGCGTCAAAAGTGTTTGTATTACATAAATATATTAATATTTCATATGTATCATATAGCTGCAATATTTTCTTCAAATTTAAATGGGACCAATACTGATTGGTATAAATTTTTGCAACAAAAAAGAAATCATCACAATCGATTCACAAACGCCGGAGTAATCGCGTAACAAACACACACAAAAAAGAAAAATACAGTTGAATTCAGAACCTCCTCCTTTTTTGAAGTCGGTAAAAACGGCGGTACATGAACAAATTTACATGCAAATCTAGGAAGGTTATAATTTTGCACTGAGGACTCAACCCACGCGTCGGTACTAAGGAACAAGGTGTACATTGGTAAGGATCACAAATGACGTCACTACACATAATAATAAGTACAGAAAATTAATTTTTATTAAACGTATCATTTTATCTTACAAAAACATTATTTAATAAATAAATAAATTATATAAAAATTGTGTTGCTTTTGTGTTGACACTTTCAAAACGTTTTATGGATATATAAATGGAACCGGAAGGTTGGGAAAGGTGTTAAATCCCTGTAATGATGGGTATATCACATTTGTAAGGGTCTGGCGTATGATGGTCACTGTATAGTTTCTGGTAGGGTTTAACACTTCATGCCTCAACCTCTTCCTCTTTTACCTTCTGATCTCCTGGCTTGCCCTTGGACCAGTCTGGCTTTTTCTGTAAACACACGAATGAAGACTTTAGTGTTTATACGTTTAAGTGATGCTATGATTTGATGTCGATAGAGTGCCTAGAAGCTAGATATAACGTAAATATGCAGACAATGTTTCGCCCCACTTATGTTTTATATAAATAATTGTGCTTTTGCAATACTAGTCACTCTATCGAATTTATAAAACCATTCTCAAAATGAATTCTTAAAGCCTGTAAATACATATATAACACAATGCAAATATCGGCGGTGTTTTGTAGAATGGGCGCTATTTAGAAAAAAATTCAGGGAACACGTTTTAGATTTTCACGGCTGTTTTAAAATATTTACGACCTGTTTTAAATTCTACTTTAAATATTAAAATTTAAACTTAATTAAAACCAAAATTTAATTTTAAAACAGGACGTAAATATATTTTTACCTAAGTAAAACCTAAAACTTGTTGCCCTGATTATTTTTCAAACTGGCACTTTTGCCCTTTCTTCAAAACACCGACAAATATAGTCTAGTCAAGGAAATAAACAGTTTGAGCATTTAGTTTATCATCTACATGATAATGCATAATATATTTAATAATTTCAAAGCTCATATGCAAGTTACAAAGTGAATAAAACAACAATTAATCACTTGAAAGTAGAAAGCGAATTTGAATGGTAACGCTTCAGAATGAGCTAACTTACACCATTTGTCTCCTTGACTGTACTGTGGCTAATGTGCTTCACTAACTCTTTATCGCGACTTTGTTGCTAACATATTAAGCTCTTGCGTGAAAATGCTTTCAAAGCCTGGACTACGGCGATTATTCTTATAAGTGAAGTTCAGTTAGACTTGAATAATTTAGGTTTTTGAATGCTAGCAGCAAAATCATAAATACACATCGCGATGTCGTGTCGTCGAGACGTTTTTCTAAAGCAGCTCACACTCTCGAAGCGTCGCTTACACATACCCTGTGTGCCTAAAACGCTCAAATATAAAGCATCCTAAAACGTCCATAAAACGTATATTATGTACACGTGTATAATACAAATGACGCCCTACAAGGCGTATGTTGCGACCACACGAAGCCTTTATACAACAACGTCATATATCTCAATTGCCAAATGCACGTGACAATACAAAATAATGTGCTCGAAAACTCTTTGCCAACCCATCCATATAACTGGCAAAGTTCGGACAAAAACTGAGTGAAACCGCGGTGATACACCATCCTAATAATGGTGAGTCTCCAAGCGAGCTAAATATATTTTTACATGCCCAGTGCGAGCAGAATGACTAAAAATAAATAGTGTCTATTACGTGATGCATATTTTACCTTGCCACCGGCACCTCCCTGTGGAACATCGCATTATCATTTGTTTTATAATTTAGACAAACAATAATCATTATTGGGACTACGGCTATTTTATTTTTAGAATGATAGTAAATCAGAATAGATATCGAATGTTGTGTTTCGTTGCGTATAGTCATTACAATTGTGGTGTCGAATTTCGATAGTAGTTTTGCCAATTTGCTAGTATTCCCCGGACGCAATAAATATTTCATTTAATATCGTAACAGGTATAGAAACATAGTATAATAATACAAGTATGGTAACTCTACACAAACGTTGCAGTGTGGCTTGTATGTGTGATGCATTCGCGTTGCATTGCGTTGGTCGTCCCACGCGTCTTTCATTATTATGCGAATGTGTGCGTCCGTACACGGCGCGCCGCGAGCGTGCACACGTACAAGCCGCGTTGCTACGTTTGTGTGACGTTATCATACTTGTCTTACTACACTATGTATTGAACAGCGTATATATACAGGACAGAGTGTTAGTCACAGACAGTGGAATAGTACATAAACAAGTATTAGCACTAACGGGAACCGAATTCCCATACAACGTTGACATTATCAAAAAGAGATTCTGCAAAGCGTTCGGGGGCTGGAATTGCGTCAAAAATCTTTGTTCAATTGTTTCGCAGCTCAAGCGATCTAGACGAATCGACTATAAAACTGCACAATTACAAAGCCATATTAACGCTGTCATATCTCACCTCTTACGAAATCAGGGTTTTGTAATGGATATCCAAAATTTGATTTAGAAAATATAAATTACAATTTATTTAAATTACTTATAAAATAGACGTCATCTAATTAAATAACACAAATATTGATGATATTGAGTTGTTCATTCGAATGGTGGTATAAGTAAACAATTTGTGTTTAATTTGTCTGTGAGCTGTTACTTCTTGCCAATAGCCCAGTCAGCTTTCTCCGCTTTCTTAGCCTGTTGGAACATGAGTAGAAATGTAGCTGTTGTTAGTGAAAGATCCTAATTAGAATTATTACAACATAACGCTTGTTCACTATCCGATTATCAACCTAAACAATCTGTCCTTAGGATTCTGTCAAGACATTAAAATTTAACAAGATACATTTTCTAATCAGGAACATGGATTTATTTTATACAAAAGTTTCTCATATTTTACAGTAACTCATGATATAGGATTCTTTAAAATCGAATAGTGTAATAAACGTTTAAGTAGAGAAGAGAAAATGGAGTAATTTAATGCAAATTAACAAGATAGAAAGAGAAAGAGAGAGAAATTAGTTGTTGATAGGTATGAGAAATAAGTTGCAATTCTTCTTCAATAACCCCACATAATTGGCAAACATTTTAAAACACTGTCTGTGGTTAGAATGTATGAAGAAAATGTGAAATTTAGTAAACATATGTGTGGTTTAAAGTTTGTCTGTGATTTTAACAAACCACCGTTTGTCATAAAGTTGTGACATCTCTAATCAAATTTCCAACAGTTTGGACATATTTATGGGTTGTTTTTAAACATTCTACTAAAGACCTAGTCATTAAAAGTAAATCCATTACACCTGTAATAAAGATGTAGATACATCTGTGTACATACATTACATACATACTGCAGAAAGATCGAAATATTTAATAGATTCCATTGTACAATCTAAGAGTATAAACATGACGTCAGCAAAATTCGAAAATTATACTAACATTAGAATAAAATACATAGGTATCCGATAGCTTCCTCGAAACTAAATCTCTATTCACGTTGTTATTAATAAATATATATAGAACATAATTATGTTTACCTCTTTGTCTTCTTCTTCAAGGGTGAATTCCTTCTTTTTAACAACCTTCAACTGGTTACGGAAGTTGAATTCGGCAGCCTTCTTCTGGAGCTTTGCGAATTTGTTCTCGTATTTGGACACCTTCTTCAGTGTGGGTTTGACGCTGAAAATAATAAATAAAGATAAATAAACGTACCATTCCACTGATGCCGTATTGTCGGTTTTGAGTTCCGGATGATATTTAACTATTCTAAATTTTGCCATTCACGAAGTTTGAAACTACAGTGAAACAAAAACTTTATATTAAAGATTATTGTACAGCTCTGCGGTAGTGACGTTTACTTTTTGTAGGTTATTTCGTGCTTATGATATTTAAAATAAATATTGTAAATGATAAATGTATGCAAAATGTTTAGAGGCATTTATAAGGAGCAACCCCTGGCATTTCTTGTTCATTATTTCAGGCGAATCTGCACTACGAATAGACTTTAATCAATATGATAATTTGAAGTGTAATTTGCTTACTTATGAAACAAAATTTATTATTTGACTTTGGCTTTGGGTGGAAGAGTGATATTAAGGGTGGTAAGGGTGCCGTAAAGGTGGATCGTCACAAAAGCTGATGACACATTTCGACCAGTTACATATTGCAATATCGAAGAACTGATTTCTTTATTTGGCAAACAGAAACATTTATCAAAGTTAACACTTACGGCGCTATTTCACGGAACAAAATAACTGGCAAATCTTTATACGTTTATAGTGCCCTAACGCCTCTACAAACTAATCGGAACTTAGATATTGAAGTAAATAAATATACAATACAATAAATTACTATATTTAGCATTCTTTTTAAAGACGAATGGTCGTTCAAACAGTACGTTCAAATAAATTATTAGTTTTTAATTGATATTTTCCTTTATTTAATGCTTATTCAAACCGCCTTCGTATTGTAACGATTATCATGCTGATCTGTCACGCAAGGGTTTGATTCAAGCAGGTCGATTAAGAACCTTACGATAACTCAGTTGTCGACCGATTCGATTAGATATCGTACGATTTCTTTTAATTTTTATTCACAACACCCGAATCGAACGTCAAAGTGTCGGATCCGAAACCGAACCGAAATGACGTCACACTCGTACGATTACCCGTACTTTTCGACCGGCAAAGGCTACAAACGTTATTCAGAACTCGAATGAAAGTTACCGAACGTCCTATTGTTTACAAAGCAAGAATGTAATATGAAAATCTTTCATTATTTTAAATAAAATCTGGATTTTGTCAATTTTATTAATAATATTTTAAAGCGAGACTAATGCATTCCCATATTTTAGGCCTTTTGCGCCTGATGGTAAGCTACACGCCTGTCCATAACAGTTGCAGTGCCACTCAGAGCTTTAAATCGCAAATATCTGAGGGGCACTGCCACTGCGCTCGACACCCTGAGATATATGTTAATGGGTTTTCTGAGTGAATCTTTAAAGAAATAATTAAAATACCTTTCATTTTAATTTATTTTTCTAGCGACAATTTCCTTTTTAATCATACTTAAATTTCGAATTTTCTACAATGAGAATTCCCCTTCTAATTGCGGCAGTGAAACAAAGGCAGTGAAGTACGTAGGGGAGCATCCTTGGTGGCGGTGTAGCATCATTGCACTACACCACCGCGTAATTGTATTCACCGGCACAACCTGCGAGCTGAAAACGTGCCTAAAAATGTGCCGTCTACTTTCAAGAGAAATTCCGGCTTCAGTTTTATGTCCTATGTGAAATTTAAGTACATTTTAACTATACTGAACTTTCAAAGAGTCAAAGTCCAAGTCAAATCAATTCGCAAGGTCTGCTGACTCGATCTGTAGCTCAGTTAAGTTAGACTCTGGTTCGAGTCCACTCCAGTCCAACCAGAAGAAATTTTTCTTCATGTTGGATCTTTGTGTTTATATTTATAACAACTAGTGGAATAATTCCTCAAAAATAAATTAATATCATGATAGTAAAACATCATAATATTTATAACAATCAATAAGTATACATATAGCAGCAGTAGAGCTCCTTGTAAAAGAGTTCGTCCAGGGAAGTACTGCCACCTTACCTATTTCCGCCAAGCAGCAATGTCAGCATTACTGTGTTCCGGTTTTGAAGGGTACCTCTAAGCTTTGGTTGATTGCTTCTTTTTTCAATAAAACTGGTCACGTGGCTACTGTTGCTTTGGAGAATCGTTGTACCATGAATAGTACACGACCATTTGTTTACTGGAAGTTATTGACAAACTTCGTAAAAATAACTGTAAACGCCGTATCATCTTGCACCACGATAATGCCAGTTCTCACACGGCCAGACAGACAAATGAATTTTTAAATGAGCCTTACGAGCCATCCCGCGTACAGTCCCGACCTTGTGACTTTTATTTATTTCCAAAAATTAAGAAACAAACAATTTTCATCACCAGAAGAGGCTATCGAAGAGTATGAAAAATATGTTTCAGAGATTGTCACGGAGGAGTGGCATAAATGTTTTCAAAATTGGTTCATTCGTATGAAAAGTGCATTAACGCTAACGGAGAATATTTCGATAACAATAAATTCATTTCTGACCATTTATAGTATTTTTTTCTTATTCATTCCGGAAACTTATAGTGCGCCCCACGTATTTGTCATGTGTAACAATCGCGAAAGCGTAAATACTTGGTTTATGTAGGTTTATTGAGATGTTATTTCGTCAGATATTCTGAGCAAGTATAGTTATTTACTACTTTACCAAACGGTATGTTGTTATTATTGTACATTGTACCGAACTTTATAATTAAAACTTTTGTCAATTGTTACTTCAGTAACTAATAACAATAGCATGCCAGACCACCACACCAATTACGAGGTCTCAAATTACTGTACCAATAAGTACTAAAGCAACGAAGTCATGGGCAGTAATCAGAACTCCCAAACCAGAAGTAATTTAGAAAAGTTCGTTTCTCAAATTAGATCAACGGGGTCCAATCCGGAACCTTCTCATCTAGCGCCCGTGGTGCTTATTGAAATAACCAATGCTTTTTTTATAAGAGACGGGACGAACAAGTCGTGCGCCTGGTAGTAAGCGACACGCCTATCCATAGCAGTTGCAGTGCCAGTCAGAGCTTTAAATCGCAAAGAGAGTAGTGAGAGAAAAGTTGACAAGTCCCATATGAATGTATTTCACCAGCACCCTTACCAAACTGGAACACGGTAACGCTCACATGCTGCTTGGTGGCAGAAATAGGTAAGGTGGCATTATTTCCCTGGACTAACTCTTTCACAAGGAGCTCTACTGCTACTAAATGATATTCGTACATACCTTCTATTTAGCGGTTTAGTCTTTGTAACCATAATTTTTTTTTTATATATTTACTTGTACTTAGTTGAAGGTCAAATTGTTTATAGCTATTTTTACGCCATATACGAATAATTTAATGTAATTTCGTTTTCGTTTTTTTATATTGCAATAATTATTTGCATGTAACCTCTCTGAACTGGATTAAACTGAATGTAGTAAATTGCAATGGCGTAACAAGGTTCATGTACTTTCACTGTGATATTTTTACGATCAATTTAGCACAAATTGTACATGTTACCAGTAATAAATAAGTAAACGCTGGGCTGCTGATATCGTTCAACGGATATTTTATTTCATTCATAATCATATTTTACAATTATCAACAAAAACAGGTGAATGTTAGTATTTTCTATCCAATATTATCTACACGCTACCAAAATATTGATTGCTCCATTCTATATGAAAGCCTTAAATAACCCATAAGCCGTAAACAACCCAATTTTTCACGAGAACGTATTTCATATGACAGACGGGACTTGTGGTAACATTATGCCGGTCACATACGGCAAATTTGATCCCGCGCGCCGTAAATCTTAGCCGTGGCTTCGCTATGAACTGTCACGTACCTATACAACCACTTTTCCTTTGCACATGGTTGAAATATGAACTAACTAGGAATTTTATGCCCGAACACCCCCGCGGGCCGCAACCTTACCCGCCGTCCACAGAAGTGTCGCTATTTACATGAAAGGATAAAGTTGTTGGACTAAAATGCTAGGATCTTGAGACCCATAGTGCGTTTTCACTAAATTACTTGTTTGTTACGATAAATTTATGGGACTTTTTCTTGTTTGTTTATTGTTTAAGTTTTCGGTTATTTGATCGTCGAACAATGGTGTAATTTTTTTTTATATATAAAAAATAAGTGCGCATTTAACCTCCATCTCACCTGATGGAAAGTGACGATGGGATCGGCGATGTCGCATGCACACGTAAATAACACCTATTCACTCTCGCCTTCAAAAGATCCAAGTTATAGCGTTCGGGAAACAAGTTCGCAGGCAGGGAATTACACTCCCTAGCCGCTCGCCGTATAAATGTGGAAGCGAAACGCTTTGTGCGAATCCTGGGAATATCCACAACATGGGGGTGGAACCCCAGCCCACGTCTAGTTCCCCGATGATGGAAAGGAGAAGGCGGTGTCAAATTTTGCAATTCCATCCCAAAATCTCCGTGATATATCCTGTAGAATACCGATAAGCAGGCAACTCTATGGCGGTATTAAAAAAATCTTAAAAAGTCATTTAATGAAATAAACATTTATGACACTTAAAATTAATGGACTATATTAAACTTAATACTTTATATAAGTAGGTACTTACAATTTTCCTCTGAGATCATTGACTTGAGAGTTCAGGTCAGCGATCTGGCAACATAAAATTATATTATAGTAAATGTCAAAGTTTACAAATAAACAATTAGAAAAGAATGGAAACAAAGTGAACTTGAAATAAAAGAAGACAGATAAAATACCAAACTGAAATATAATGGGAAATGAAATAATTTGATGGAAAATTAAAAAATATAATTCATGAAGAGATACTGAGCGTAAGTTCTCAGAAATGTAAAAGTATATTTACAGATTTTAAAACAAGTATCCGTAAATAGAAACAAATCGCACCCAAGGTGTAATAAGGCCACATCTGTAAAATGGTAACTTGTTAGGAAAAGGTTTAAAAATTTTATTCTACTAACGAAATTAGTCGATAACTTTTTATGCTTAAACGGAAAAGTTATAAAATTTAACATATTTTTATCACTTTAATGTGATATAAGCACTTCTAACGTATGCCATTTGTAACGTATATCACATATGGCTTTAATTATACCAAGGATACGAAATATTCGTTCCACAAGTATTAACAACAAAATGTTACATTTTACAGATAAATGTTTGTTCTCAATAGGAAACAAAAATAAAATTAGAAATAAAACTTGTGAAACGTAGGTAATCTATTCCAAAAAAAAGTAGCAAGAACATGCAAATCCACAAAGAGAAACGTAAAACGAGAAAAGCTTGAACTCCAAAGATCTGTAAAGAAAGCACATATAGAAGCACTCGAAATGCACAATGTTACGGAAAATTGTATATCACAGATTGAAATCGGCAAAGTAAACGGTGATAGAAAAGCACAGAATAAGATATAGGCGCATATTAGGCTATGTTATTTGCGAGATGAAGTTTAATTTTGTAGTATGTAAGTAAGTCTGATTCACGTAAAGGTCAGTCCCATATCCATGAATATCTTTAGCCTGTGCTCTTTACTCATACATCTATTTGTACAATATTTCTATAACCTCTAACTACTACACCATGTGATAATCTCTAGCACGTGCATCACTTCTACTTATCGTGCCTCGTGGCGGTAGCTGGTCCCTTGCAGCTCCTGTGCCCTTAACACCGCACAATTTAAATCAAGTGCTGCATATATAATACATGTGCAAAACTTCATGAGCGCCACCAATATTATACTTCTTCGACGCTGGGCTCAGCACCTAACGAAGAATGATGCTCGCAAACACACGCGACGTGGCTAGTCCAAGGTCGAAGTGGTAACATATTGACCGCTGCATCGATATGCGAGTGAGTCTCCTGGGGAGCACGTAGATCTCCCTACATCAGCTCAATAAACATTCAGTGGAAGATTCGACGTCGGATAAGTGTGAATAGAGTGACGGTGCAAAATCGATCCAGACTTGCAATGTAGTAGTAGTAAGTATGTACTGTAGTGTCTTTGGACTCGCAAGTGAGCATAGCATACACCACTCCGTGTCCCGGATATGATGTAATCGTCCATCGTGAACGGGAGCCGTTCGGGCTCAACTCGTGGGAAAAGGATGGGCAACATCGACCAGAGCATGGCACTTTCAATTTAACATTCTGTGTCTAACATACAGGTAGGTATTGCAAAAGGTTTATGGGGCATATCTCAGCAACCGAACACGCAAACATTTCGCGCGGAATGTAACGGCACATACACGAAAAGTTGGAGATTTGGAACAAGAAGTTTCACTTACACTATGCACTTGCGTGTGCCAATGGAGGAACCAGTCCAGCGTTCCAATATAGTTTAACGGCATCTCTAATTGTTTTCATCAAAAAGAGAAAATTCAGTAAGGCCACTAAGCTCGCCACCACACATGAAGCGACACACTGGCGGATGCAGCGTCGGGGCTGGATATTAAGATATTAATATTTAAGTGCCATACTATATCAAGGATTCATTAATTGGGACTTGGAAGCGTTGTTGTTACTTATTAATTATATTATCATGCACCAAGCAAAGCTGTAGCAGAATAAGCATATGACTGAAAATTATCGTGGATGATGACGAAAATGATGATGATGGTGATGAAGATGGTGGTAATGGATTGTCTCATTCATACATCGTCGACTCCCAAATGGAGCTACAAAAAGACGATGATGTGAACCAGACAAGTGAAGGTTGACGAGAATCGAAAGATGACTGATGAAGTTAGACGAGCATGCGAAGATGCGGGGCTTTGTGCCCGCGCAAGTAGTGAGTGCAGTGTTACTGTTACGCCAATGGCGGTTACCGGTTACTTAGTTAGTGTATTAATGGTGTAAGCTCCATGTCGGATGACGCGCCGCCGGCGCCGGCGGAGATCGATTTTGCACCGCACGTCTCACCGCCCGACCACCTTAGTACCGCTCGCGGCACGCGTACACAACTCCTCTACATTGCATTGCAGCACTACCGATCCGGCCCCACCGTTATTTACAATTCAACAACAAACCACCGAAAAATTACAAAGCGTTATCAATGTATCAACTCGACTGTCACACGCGTACGTTTGTTACAGAATCGATGATTGTGATATTCACAATGGTTATAAAGTATTGGTCAATACCTCATAATCTCTTTTCTTGACTTCATGTTCCAAATCCCACTTCTGGCCCTCACACACATACATGCGGTCATAATACTCCTGTATTATTCTCTTGAGCATTGCTATAGAAAAAGGAAACACAGATTATTGAGCCAGCAGAATGAGCATGGGCATCGATGTGAGTGGCCTGCGCCTGCGTCTCTCGACGGGCGACGCGGACGTGTGCATGTGTGCGGTGAGCCGAATAACTATCATGTCATGTCGTAACAACTAAATCAGTATCAACTCATATCATGTGCATTCCCTATCCTAGTATGCAGTTTACCTCCATTTTCCTAATTTGGATCGCTCGTTCTAGCTCATATTTATCCCCCTCAAGGTTGTATATTCTGTGCCAGTACATTTGACATATCGTCTGCAGTTCCGCTAAAGAAAAACACAATCACATTTTAAGTATGTTATCATTTGGGCACACGGTGGCCTCCTCGCGGATCTATGTCGTAGTAGTGTAGGTACTATAGACTGGGACCGCTTCACTGGGGGAATCAAAGCGTAAGCGAAGCTACATGATCAATTAAAGTGGGCGTCAATGGATATTCGCTGCGTCATAGACTATTGTTATTGACTGAAAACTCGCTGATAATATCTACAGTAACAAACTATTGCAGTTCTGGAGTTGCTACAACGGGTCCTTGTTATTTAGCGCTATCCAAATATTTTTGTTATCCACACGGTTAAGGATGGGTATAATTTTATATTCAGCTCCGAAAATAAATAAATAAATAATGAGTCGACTGCGAAAACAAAACAGTATTTTAAACTAGTCACATTATCGGCATGAGCTACTCAAACGAAGAGCGAAATGAATTTCGTTGTGCGCAAACCAAGTCAGACCTCCATCTGTCTGCGGGCTACTTCCATCTCGTGATCGTACTTCTCCTCCTCTAGCTTGATAATACGCTGATGGTAACCGGTAATGATGCTCGTGAGAGCCGCTACAACATTAATTATGGTTACTCGCGTTCCGAACTGATTATGTGGCCATGTCGTAGACGTACACGCCCTAGCGGCCAGCGGCAGCAGCTGGTTAGTGTGAGTTTCAGAAAGAAATTTAATGTCGGAAAAAATAGAAGGTTGGTGAAGCTAAAGTTCGCACGTAAGAATACACATGGAGCTTAGAAGAAGAAACGCGTTAAAGAAGGCAAAGGGTCGGATAAGTATCCCATGACCCTGCACACTAGATAGTGCTGTTGTTATACAGAAATATAGAACAACAACCACTTCGACACCACCACAAAGTTAAAGAAGAAGTTTTGTAAGTTCAATCCAAAAGGGAGCGGCTCTGTGGCAGCTGGTCTCACTACCTCCATATCTTTCCTTTTAACGATATATTCCAGATCGAACTTTTCATCTTCGAGATTACCGATGCGGGCGTGGTAATCTCGGCAAACTTGTCTAACGGTATCTATAATATGACATACACAACAACATAAAAAAATGTGGTTTGAAATACGTCGTGAATTGTAGTGTGTATAAATATTAAAGATAAGTAGTATTTCGTCATTAAATTGTCTTAAGAAAAATAGACTGGATGTGGCTAAGATAAGAGATTGTATTATACATACATGTAGAGAAAAAATGGGTGATTACCTTCGTTTGCATCGTCAATGTTCTTGGGTTTACCGCACCTCTCTTCAATGATGCGCCTCCTCTCGGCCGCTTTGCGTTCCTGCTCCTTCTTCAACTCCTCAGCGGCTTTCTTACGTAGCAGCAACTGTTAGGATTAGACAGCATTTAGTATCTGTTTTATCGATGCACACAACATAGTACATCTTGGAGAGTGCACAGTGGACTCAGACGACATATAGACATAGTATATTACCGCTTATAATTCACTAGTGTAACAAAAGATATTGCAATGTGTTTGAAGCATTAGATAGACATTTCTCTTCTCAAAATCTCGATGTGGTTGAACTGGGCTTTTCTCTCATTAAGAAATTTTGTTTTATATTTCAATTATTACAAGACTACTAATACACCGCTCTAAAACAGAGAAAAAGCAAACGGAGAATATACTTACCCTGAGCTTCTTCTTCCTCTCTGGTGTCATGAAACCCTTCTTCGCCTTTTTGGCCTTGGAGGCTTCTTCCATGCGCTTGCGCACCTCAGCGCGCTTGCGGTCGATCTCGGCCTGTTTGGCCTTCTTCGCCTGGACATAGTCAATTATATGGTAATTGTATGCCTACGTGCTTTAAGAAATTTTATGGTATTTAGTGTAAGTATAGATGGCTTTAAGATGACATTTAAACTTTGTAAAAGTAAGTGTAGTATATGGTTTGTAAGCTTGAACTAACATGACTATATCTAATTGTTAGAATGTAAAGCGCATCATAGAAGTAAGTTTAACCAAGGTTATTATAAACCCAAATGATAACTAAATGCATGATTGTACATGTATAGGTACCATTATTTTTTGTTGTTTCTATAAAGAGGTAATTCTGATCGAATTAACTTTTTACGACTTTGTCTTCTCCCATTACACATAGATACCTTTGTGTAATGGGACAAGCGTATAGAGGCATGAATTTGTATACTCGTGATAATAAACAACTTCAGCAAAATAATTTTCAATTTGCAAAATTTGCTTTTCAATTGCAAAATATACTTTCCCATACAAAATATGCAGGGTGAAAAGAAATACAACGAACCTAAATTATATTAATTTTTTTTATAAGTTGCCTGTTATTACGTTTGATGAAAGGCTGTAAACATAAAATGTAAAGTTAAATATGCTCGTTTAAGTTCTACAACTACTTGTAAAGTGTTAGTGTTGTTCTTCTTCGGTCTTCTACTTTACCTCCTCGAGACGCTTTTTCTGAAAGCAAACACAAAATAATATTAGAATTAAGTTTAAATAAAAACTTAAAGTGTTAAATGTGATTACGAGGAACAAAATACATTGAATTTTTATTACACAATTCATTTTTTTTAAATAGTATATATAGTTTAATGCACATAGGAACAAAATACAGTTGGTAACAAACTAGAAAGAGTTATATTGCTAAGTAGCAATTTCTTCCAGTTAACATTGGGGCGATAGGAGAAACTTAAAAAGTTTTGACGACCTCTGTTGCCTACCGCTTAGCACTCTGGGCACGAGCTCTCGGGTTCGATTCCCGGAAGGACCAATTTGGAAATGGATTTTTGCCAAACAAGATATGGCCTAGGTGTTTTTAGGTATTGCCTCCAAAGTTAATTTCGTCTCGTATGTGTAGTACAGGGATTTCCTAGTTTCAAACCAGGTAATTCAAGTGGTTATTTAGCACATTATTGTTATTAAAGTAAAGAGAACAATAAAAATGTAAGGTACAAATCTAATGCATTTCAATAAAATATTGTAACTTTGAATAGACACAACCATACATAAATATAAACTACCACGGAAAAATTACGAGTAACTTTTAGAGGCAAGACTGGATAGCAATCTTCTGCAAAATCCACAATGAGCAAAAATACCAGAGGCTACAGAAACGACTGTAACAGAGGCTACAGGAAATTACCAAGGAGTTGGATGGGTCTACACATTGAACACATACACACATTGAACAACTTCCTACTAACCTTAACAAGATCAGGATTCCAAGTTATTTTATTAATATCTTGAAAAATTTGCATAAAAGAATAATAGAATTAATTGTTTTATTACAAATGCTGTTTGAAATTTAGGATTTTGGTGATTTAGAATAATGCTGTGCTGTGTATTAAAATAACATAGTAAGTGGTGTTACGTGCGTCCGTGCCTATTATTTTTGGATGTAACAATACTCGTATTATTTAATAGTTATTTTTGATACAAGTGCGGAAAGTTAGTCATTATTCACGAGTGTCGAGGCTTCAAGACTTTTCAAGACTCGAGACAAGTGAAAATGACAAATCCGCACGTGCATCAAACGACGTTTTTTAATACATTTGCGAAAAAACTACATTGAAAGTAAAATAAAACAGTATTTAAAAAAAACTCATTTTCTGCTAGTAAATTAAAATACTGAAATACAACCACTGCAACCATTATTTAAAAGTCTATGGAAATCTAGTTCTAACGTGCTGTTTTTGTTATTTTCTGTAATATCAGTCTGTAACCAGTTTTCTTATTATGAAGTCCTGGTACTTTTGTTTAAACTTCTTTAGGAACCCGTGCACGGTAGTGAGATACAATTTATCTGTAATACATAGAACAAATGTATACATAAAAATCTCGCCTGTCACCCATTCAGGGGTAGGCAGAGACTGTGGACCTCCACTCGATACGTTCATTATATAGTATTTGTAAATAAATATAAGTTTTAATGACGAATGACTTACGTCACAAAGCACATAAATATACAACTTCTTTAGTTCTGTGCTTAAGATTTGAAACAACAGTAAATTAAAAAAAAAATGGAAAAGTAAAAAGCACTAGTGCGAAAATTCCAACTTTCGGCACGATTTGTAGTACGAAAAATACCACGTTTTGAGCAACTGTATTAAAAATATATTTTTTAAATTTTACTTCACTTATTCCGAGTAAAATGTTATGTCCAAAAACCTGTTGATTTGGTGCATATTAATATTGTGCACTTATGTTTAATTTAACAGTGAGTTAGTGTGTATAAAGTGTCACCCACGTGTTACCCTTATTAATTCAAGAATTATGTCCATTTTCTACCAAAACGGTTTGGAACAGAGCTGTTTTTCGCCAATCAATAGTCATCGTCAACCTAGCATAGAAAAATAAGACAAGTAGGGCAAATCCTTGTGTGTAAATGCCTACACTTCGCTCGGAGCGTAGGTTTGTCACATTATTATTTTAGTTGTACCTGCCCTATTGAAATAACCTTTGTTAAATGCAGTACTTGCGTATTGATATTTTTACCAGCATCACGGATTGCTATCTCGATTATCGATATCTGGAAGTATGTTTATAAAACACAAATGAAGTCTCTGTTTTTGGTTTTTAACGCCTTATTTTGCCGCTTTTTCTATGAGAATCTATTTCTTCACTCAGCCTTCCTCACAACTTTTACTCAACCTTTACAGGTACCAGCTACCCAGCTAACTACAGTATTTTGTACGTGTTCGATCTTTGTATTAATAACTATAATAAAAATGAAATGTTGAACCATTTCGAGTTTAAAGTACTCTTCTTCAAACAACCACAAACACAGCAATAAACACGTCTACTACATATTTGATATTATTTCTTAAACATCGAACAAACGCTTCAGTTCTACAACGAATGACGCGTGTGACGACCCGCGCTGTGCAACGTTAGTGCACTGCGAGATTTTGCGAATGTGTGCATCACACTCTGCGCACAGCGGGCATACACACATACAAACCACACTTCTACATTTTTTGGAGTTACCATACATGTCTTATTATGCTATGATTATAATATGTTCCACTGCATCGTCGGTCAAACTGGCCCGATGCGAGTTGGAGATTTCGCAAGTTTCCCAAGGTTTGTGAATCTAATTCGACATGCAGATTTCATGTCACAATATTTTCCTTTACGTTAGCGACAGGTATTGCTAATGAACATTAAAAAATATACGTAATTTATAAATGAAACACATATTAAGACGGATTCAAAGCCAGGGTTGTTGCGAATATCAGCTTAGATGAAAATATAGGATAATCGGCTTAAATGAAAATATCGGCACCCGCATCAGAATCAGCATTCATCGATGCTGATATTAATTACGGACGTTCGAATCGTGACATGATCTAAAAGGCGCACTGGAATAACGCACAGACCTTCCAGAAACAGACTGTAAGCCGAAAAAACAGCTAAGTTGGTGTTTTCAAAATAAATTCTGATAAAGTTCTATGCAGATTGATTCTTTTATTGATTCAAAAAATATTTTATTCTAACACCAAAGAAAATAGAAAACTTTTTATGTAGATCGATTAAGTAAGAATGCACATTTATCGCGTTTCTTGTTTAAATACATAAAATCAGCATCAACATCTACATCCACATCCTCTGATGCTAATGCCAAAATATCAGCATCCGCCGATGTGTAAAAAAACTTGCATTAGCAACAACCCTGCTTCGAAGCGTCGACCTCTCTATTAAGAAACAAGTCAGCTACTACTTATTCAAAATAACAAAATACTATTTGTAGCCGAATCATAACTCTTTCCGCTACTCTTTAATAGATAATGGACCTTAATCGTAGACATATAAAGCACAAGTTAACGTCACTTTGTGCACTGAAGCTTTAGTGCAGCGATTAATGACGGTCAACTTACTATTATTGTTCGCATATTTCAATAAAATACAGAGGCTGCAAAAAAGTGGTATATAATAAAATTCAAGGGTTTATAGACACTTTTATGTTTTCATTTTGATATTACTATATCTGTTGTAGAGAATTCATTCATTCAATTCACAATTCTTATATTACTTGAAGTAGAAATATCAATGATAAATCGACATTTTTCAAAAGGTGTAGTAGTATTATGTTCAGTTGACCAATGTATTGCGGTGTTGCCAAAGAGCTCAGCAATATTTATCAATCATTTAAATATGAAAAAAAATTTTACTTTCCCGCTATTTCTTTTCCAGAATCTGAATTCCGAAATCTTCAAAATATATTAGTCCATAGGACTAACCTTATACAGTTCATATTGCACGGCTCTTTGTACAAACGTCTGTTAATAAATAACAGCAATATATAATTACCTGCATCTCGAGGGCATTTGGCTTTCAATACTGGAGTGTGACGTCATCAGGTCAATTCCAGATCCAGGCGATAACCAAGTGAAGCGGGTTTCGAAGAAAATACAATGAAACAGATATAAAAAGCATGTTACGTGTGTTGAGAAATAATCGTTTACTTTAATGTAAAATTCCTTATAACAAAATTTTCCTGCAAGGGTAGGACCACACTTGGCGGAACTACGTTGCTCTACGACGAGTGATTTGGTGTATAAATTGGAATACTTGGCTTAAAATTTAGCTTACACAGTGATGTATACATTACATTTTAAATTTGTGTCTCAACATTTTTCTATAAAGAAGCGTTAATACCTTCTCAAAAAACACACTAATATTTCATACACGATTAAAGTTGAAAAAGTCATTATAATATAGTAGAAATTTATAATCAAACACAATTTTCAAAATTATAGTTTGAAGTTCGAAGTTTTTTTCTTTTTCTTACCTTACATCATCATCCGCCATTTTGTATGTGTTGGTCTAAGGTGTCCTGAAAAGAAAATGTGTATGAAAGTTTGCAGACACCTATAAAAACCAATGTAATTACTTGTTTTAGTTTAGTTCTGTGTGTACTAAATGAAAACTCATAATATAGAATCAGTAATATACATTGCCACATGACGGAAGTATTGACAAACAGTGTAATAGCCAAAAAAGATACATTACGGGTGAAATGCGTATTTGGCCACGATCATTAAAAACACGTCTGTTACTTGAACCATTTTGGAGAGTTGCCAGTTGCCTAGGTGCGAACAACTGACACTTGATACTTTTAACTGCATTGTCTTTTTTTGCAATAAATTGTCAACGCTTAACGAGTTTAAAATTTTTCGCTTTGTGCATGAAAAGGACTCAAAAAAATGGTTCTTGATTCGATAAAATGTTCAGACTAAAAACAATGATACAATTTTAATTGAGCGTTGCATAAAATAATTGGACGATTTCTGTGTGGTAACGCAACGTGAGCGTAATGAAAATTCCACAATTAGGTTCGGGTGCGTTCGGCCGCAGTCGGGGTTATTCGGGAACGCGCGCGACTGAAATAGGCCGGCTGAAACCGCGCGCATCCTAATTTGGTGCGCGCATGCTACAACGGTTACTCGGGTTTCAGATTTGAGGGAAACCGGACATATGCACTGAAGGTAACAGGATATCTTTTCTTATTACTTTTCACGTTTTATCAAAATTATTTTTATTATTAAAAATACACAACTTTTTGCTGATATTAAGCTATTGATGTGTATGGTTTATTTTTTTACTTATATTTCGTTTACATCTTTATTACACATATTAAAAAATATATGTAACTTATCCAAACCGTCGGTTTATGTAAATTATCCAACGACCTAGGTAAAATACGAAGACAGTGAAGAGTAATGACGTCACACTGTATTTTCTCCATTACTCATCACGATTTAACTGTGCATTAGCGTTGAGCATTCGCTGACGAAAGGGTCCATTGCACGTCACTAATGCACTCTTTGAGAACATTACTTGAACACGGGCGGTTTCATTACAGTTTGCTGCACTCACGCGTTTAGAGACCGATCATTTCCGGTTCCACGACATTGCTGTAGCACTTCACTTTTAACCGCACTTCGTTATGGTTATTTTTTGAAATAATTTTGGCACCACTCACCTACGGCAAGAAAAAAAGGAGATGGCCCTATAGATGGTTCAGCCAACACGAGCCACTGCTGCTGACTGGCGCGGCGCGGGCGCAAGGTGCTGCGCGCGATGCGTAGGCGACGCTCTCCGCACCCCGCCCCCACCCATTCCAATATTCCATGCTTTCAGCGCCTACGAAGCTCCGCATCGTCATCTACTCTACAACAAATTTTGTTATCGGTTAATTACTTATTTTGAACTCTATCTTCAAACATTAATGCCTATTTTCGAACACGCTTTGCGAAATGAGTGAAAACTATCGTGTCGGATTTTCGCCACGTTATCTTTTACTTAATAATAAACTTCGACTTTTGAGTAATAGAGTGCAATTCTGCTCGTACATTCAATGGTCTAAACAAAGTCTTTCGTAGCATTCGCGCGCGTCGTCTGTGAGCCTAGTAAATATTTTTAGAGCAGTGTCGTTTTGACACCGACACCGAAATAACATTAGATCTAAGCTCCAGTTTGGATCGGATAGGAGGCCTCGTAAATTTTGCCCAGCACGGTGCCGCAACGCGTGATTTATAAACAATTTTACCGAAATGGCGTCCCCTATATTCCGTTATTATGATATTACTTCGTGAAATCTGTTAGGATGACAAAGGGCGATATGCTTCTAATGAAACATAAACGAGTTCAAGGGCTTAATGCCTTATATTTTATTATTTTGTCCAAAGGAAAAAATCTAGCATCTATATCATTTAACGTTATTTAGCTTGTGATTGTGAAAATGCCTAACTTTTTTGTCGCCAATTAGTAATGTGAGCATTAAAGCGTTCCGATTTTGAAAGTTAAGAGTGCTAGTGAAATTACAGACACATGGGACTTGTCAACTTATGTCTCGAAGTGACGGGCACAGTGACAGTGCCCCTAGGATCTTTGCGACTTAAAACTCTGACTAGACAGGCGTGTCGTTTACCGTCAGGTAAACTTCATCGCTTGGTACCAAAAAAAATGAAATATGTTGTGAACATTTCTAGATCAAAATTTCTAACTTTTTCGTCAGTTTTGTTCTTATACGGAACAAGATTTCTTCGTCGCAGATAAAATTTAGTGAATTAAAACTACAAAAACTTCACGCGATCAACTTTAGCTTTTAGATTGTGTACCAGCGCTTGAACACTTTTTAATTTGAATTAGATTCGCGAGTTTAAATTTCACCAACGAAATTCTTGTTTCTGAAGGAATTAAAATGATAAGACGTTAAAGTTCCTTAAATCCCGCAAAGTGTTAAGCGCTTGAAATTGTAAGTTCACTTTAGAAAGTTTGAAAGCTCAAACTTAGACAAAGCTGAGCATAATAATGTATAATAATAATAACATAAACATGTTTTTCTGAAGAATATACATAAATACTACAAATAATGACAACAATAAGACATTTATTCATAAGCTCTTTTACAACTGCCTCCGTGGTCAAACGGTTACCATGCCGGACTGCCACGCAGAAGACCCAGGTTCGATTCCCGGGCCGGGAGAAATAGTAGTATGGCCTACAATTATTTCTCTCGTGAGTTTGGGTGTAATTTGAGGTTGTCTATATGTGTGTCCATGGCACCCGCGACACAGGGTTTCCCTAGTGTGGGGCTATGTTGAGTGTGTGCGTTATTTATAAAAATAAAAATAAAAAAAATAATAAAGAAAGGTATTATAGATACAGTTTCGGAACGGCACTACATGCTGCAGGTTCCACCTTCATAGGTGGAACCTGAACATCCGCTGCTGATAATTATCAGTCTTCACCACAATTATACATTTTACATTTGATGCTTACAATTTGTTATTTCGATGAGTCACAAAAAATAATAGGTACAAAGGGCACTAGAATAGGTTTCACCTTCTTACATACTGGTACATTTAAATTTACTCAATTTTTTCCCGTACTGCGAGTCGAGCGGCAAGCACACTGGTTTTATTTCAAAATTTATTTTTTTACAAATGAAATTAATGCCATTTGAAAATGTATATCGTATACTATACATGTTCTATTTAATTCGGTTGATATAAAAAAAAATCATTGTTTTAAGTAAAGTACTTAGTGAATACATCGGTTTTCTTGTAAAATTTCGGGTTAAGTTTGCATTTTTTTTT